GTCCGTGTTTTCAAACTCGTAGCATGAAAATCCCAGATTTGTGATAACAGATCGTGATTGAACATTCATATTTTTCATGTTTTCACACTCATGTTCTTCATGTTCATCAGCAGAGGGAAACCCAGAGTTCCCGACCTCTTTTCCTTGCATGTGGCCCTCGGGGACACACCTCGGCAAGGAGGTGTGGAACCTCGGCCTAGGCCTGGTTAGTGCCCAGCATGCTTTTCCGAGATCATTTGCATACATAAGAGACTTGCTTGAAAGTGCATTCAATAGGCTTTGCCCTGTGTTTGTAGGACTTGGGCTTGTCTCGACCCCGACGTGTGTAGAACTATGTGAGTGGTATTTTTAATAAAGCTATGTTACACTTGCTTTCATAAATCTCGTCTTGCCTTGTTTTGAAAAGTACTTGATCTAGCATGAATGACTATCCCTACTTGTATATTAAGCACTATCTTGTTTTGATGACATTTCTTGAAAGTCCTTAGCTGCAGGGGACTATAATGCAACTGCACTCTTGTCTTGAAAGTCCTTAGCTGCAGGGGACTATAATGCAACTGCACTCTTGTCTTCAAAGTCCTTAGCTGCAGGGGACTATAATGCAACTGCACTCTTGTCTTCAAAGTCCTTAGCTGCAGGGGACTATAATGCAACTGCACTCTTGTCTTCAAAGTCCTTAGCTGCAGGGGACTATAATGCAACTGCACTCTTGTCTTCAAAGTCCTTAGCTGCAGGGGACTATAATGCAACTGCACTCTTGTCTTCAAAGTCCTTAGCTGCAGGGGACTATAATGCAACTGCACTCTTGTCTTGAAAGTCCTTAGCTGCAGGGGACTATAATGCAACTGCACTCTTGTCTTCAAAGTCCTTAGCTGCAGGGGACTATAATGCAACTGCACTCTTGTCTTCAAAGTCCTTAGCTGCAGGGGACTATAATGCAACTGCACTCTTGTCTTCAAAGTCCTTAGCTGCAGGGGACTATAATGCAACTGCACTCTTGTCTTCAAAGTCCTTAGCTGCAGGGGACTAGTGGCGCCAAAATTTTGGGACTTTTAGTGAGAAAAAAATTTGTCACTAATTATAAAATTATTTGTGAGGAATATATTTTCGTCACCAAAACGTTTTAATATTTTTGATATCTTTTCGTGAGGAAATAATATTGTCACCAATTTTGGTGGGAAGTTTTTGATATATTGAGCGGCAATAATAGGGTATTAATTTTTTTTTATCCCTTTTTTGTTTATCATCTATCTCTCTCTCTCTCTCTCTCTCTCTCTCTCTCTCTCACACTAAGACGGCCTTCGGTAAACCTCGGGTTACTGGCCATCACGGCACCAAACTACTAGGGGCGGTTTGGGGGCGTGACAGTCGTCGCCTCTATTAGCCTTGCTGATCGCCGATCGCCGCCGCCACCAGTAGCCTTGCCGGTAACCGCCACATCTTCTTCGATCGGTGATTTGGCACGTGATTTCTCTTTGCTCTTTTTCTGGCGTCTCTTTCTCTTATTCTCTGTTTTGATATGATGACGAAAATTAGTGAAGAAAACAAATTTCGTTACTAAATAAGAAGAATCCATGAGGAATTATAAATTTTGTCATGTATAATAAAAAAATAAAAATAATAGGTGACGAAATTTATTTCCGTCAGTAAACACTTACTTTTAGGTGAGAAAAAAAATTATGTTTCGTCACCTAATTTTTCCCACTAATTTTTTTTGATGGCACCAAAATTTTAAAACTTTTGGTGAGAATTTTTTTTTTTCACTAATTATAAAATTTTTCACTAATTGTAAAATTATTTGTGAGAAGTATATTTTCGTCACTAATAATTTTTAATATTTTTGAGATGTTTTGGTGAGAAAGTAATGTTGTCACCAATTTTGGTGAGAAAATTTTGATGTATTGAGCGACAATGACCAAAAAAAGGGATATTAATTTCTTTTACCCCTTTTCTATTTATCATCTCTCTCTCTCTCTCAAAATAGACACTACTAAAAAAACAGTTAAAGAATGCCCGCCGTTAAAAGTATTGCCTTTTTAAAGACCACACTTTGACAAATAAAATTATCTCACTTTTATTAGAAGTGTGATAAAAAAAAATTAAATTGATATTTTAATCGCACTTAATTTGATTGTGTAATAATATTTATTTTTCATGTCACTTTTTAATTAAATGTGATTATATATATATATATATATATTTTAATCTCACCTTCTAAATTAGATTATATATAATTTTTTAATCACAACTTCTAAATAAGTGTGATGAATATATATTGCAAAAAATTAAATTCATAAAATTCAATTAAATTTCTAAAAAAATTAATTATCTTTTCTTCTTCTCTCTTTTGTGACTCTTGCCCTCTCTCTCTCTCTCTCTCTCTCTCTCTCTCTGAGAGAATGATAAACACCTCATGGGCACGACCTTTGCATCTCCTCCCCTTCCCTGAATTAGGATCCTCTTCCCCAATAGAGACCCACCCTCTTCGCCATAGACGGCGCTTTTCATTTCCCTTACAACCCTTCGAAACTCATTGGCTTGGGAAAGACCTGCAATTTTGGTAAGGTTCTAAACCTAGAGTTTGTTTCTTTTTTTTTCTTAAACCCTTCTCTTCTTAAATTAGGGCATTTGATTAAACTATTTGGATTTCAATTCAACGATTTCTGGGTGGGGGGTTTTGATTTTTTTTTTATATATATAAAATTCTTAGGTAGTGAGCTTTCCCCCCTGTTTCTCTTTTTTTCATATTTAAAAAAGAAAAAAAAAAGAAAAATCTAACAGACACCGTGCTTATGGATGCGAATCCAGAAACTCTAAGATTTGTCTTTTTTTTATATGAGTTTCGATAGTCTAAATGGGAATCAAGTTTTGAAATGGGTTTGAAATATACAAGTGTTCTCTAGCCTTGTCCAAATCAATTTTATGTTTTTGTTTTTGTTTTTCCAATTTTTTCATTATGTAATGCAATCTATTATATCTATGAAGTTCACGTCTTCTTCTTTGTAGTTTTGCACCTTAAATGTTTATTTATTTACTTCATTGAACTTCAATGTAATGGCTTTCATTTTCCTGCATATTTCCTATAACTACAAAGGATTTTGCACCTTAAATGTTTATTTATTTACTTCATTGAACTTCAATGTAATGGCTTTCATTTTCCTACATATTTCCTATAACTACAAAGGATTTTGCACCTTAAATGTTTATTTATTTACTTCATTGAACTTCAATGTAATGGCTTTCATTTTCCTACATATTTCCTATAACTACAAAGGATTTTGCACCTTAAATGTTTATTTATTTACTTCATTGAACTTCAATGTAATGGCTTTCATTTTCCTACATATTTCCTATAACTACAAAGGATTTTGCACCTTAAATGTTTATTTATTTACTTCATTGAACTTCAATGTAATGGCTTTCATTTTCCTACATATTTCCTATAACTACAAAGGATTTTGCACCTTAAATGTTTATTTATTTACTTCATTGAACTTCAATGTAATGGCTTTCATTTTCCTACATATTTCCTATAACTACAAAGGATTTTGCACCTTAAATGTTTATTTATTTACTTCATTGAACTTCAATGTAATGGCTTTCATTTTCCTACATATTTCCTAAGATTGTAAAAATAACTATTAATATTCTCACTTAATATTTACATAATTTTTTTAGACCAATAAATTTGGTTGCTAATATATTATTATCAACTTTAAGGACCAAATATTTTCGTCATTATCAATTAAAAATGTTTTGAGACCAAATATTTTTATCATTTTAACGATTAAAAAGTCAGGACCTCACTTCAGCCCTAACTTGTTCATTCTCTCTTCAACGGGTTTGCTCAATCTTCAGCCCTAAAGTTGGGAGCTCCAAGGCATATTGGGAGCTCAATCTTCTTCAAATTTTGGTGCCCCCCCTCTCTCTCTCTCTCTTTCTTTCTCTCTCCGTAATCGATCCCCGTAATCAACCTGTAAGAGCTCCAATTCGAACTTTCAATTTCTGATCGTAATCGATCTCCGTAATTGACCTATAATAGCTCCAATTTGAACTTTCAATTTCTTATTATTTCATAGATTGAACTTTTTTTGTGCGTATATATATATATATATCTTAATGCGTGTTGGAATTGACGAATTCTTTACATAGATTGAACTTGTGTGTGTATATATGTATATCTAATCTAATGCGTGTTAGAGATGAAAAATTGTTTTCTCGCACAGTTTGATCAATATTGTATTTCGTATGCTGTTAATTTGTTGTTTCAGTGAGTTCCAAGGTGTTACACTATCATTTTCTTTTTTTGATTTTCAATTTCTGATTATTACATGGATTGAACTTGTGTGTGTATATATATATATGGCCTTCTTCTCTGTTTTCTCTCACTAAGAATAAGAATGATGAATGAATCGTCTCTCACTGGGCCATATGTATGTAGTATTGCTATCAAACTCTTGAGATTTTAATGACAATAAATTGCCTACTACTCAACTAATGACGGTAGTAGTAGGAATGACGATTTTTAAACTTCTAACAGTTGATCTTAAACATTAGGAATGACAATTTTTAAACTTTCCTCCCTTGCGAATCACAAGAGTTAATGTCCATGCTAGTTTCACCTCCCTTTTCCAATTTTTGGTTATTCATAAATTTCTCATTTACGTATTCTTGTTTTTTTTTTTTGGGCTGCTTACAGGATAAAGATGTGTCTAGTGATATATAGAACATTAGAATCGTATATGTTTCTGTTGTTATTTTTCAATCCTCTTAGTATTGCTTTTGAGACATTACAGGTACTTTTATTGGGAAGTCTTTTCATTTTCATAATGGATAGATCTATCTATAGATCATGTAACATTTTTCCCGTGGAACATATAATAAACACAGGCTGAAGGTTCTTTGGTCTGCAAATTGTTTTTTGTAGGCTATTGTGATTCATGGTTTTCAATTGCTCGATATTAGTAAAAGCTCTACAGGACCTTTTTACCTATGCCTAGCCTGCTCAGTTAGTGTCAATGTCAAGAAAATGCACCAATCTCTATCTTTTTTTCTTAAAGGTTTATATGTTTGTGATTATTTTAATTTGACATGTTTTTAGTTGGTGGGTTGTCTTGGCAATGTTTATATGTTTATTAATTCTTTCTAAGACCATGGCTTTCCATGATTCTTGCCAATCATTCGTTTTCTATTGTTATTGTTGATGCTGTTGCTAAAGACCAAGGGTACTTCTAATTGTTGTTGTGGATTGGATTTGTCATTATTGTAACTTAACAAATTTGAGTGCGGGTTCATTCTATGAATGGAAAGGCATTCTCATATGGAACTTGGGTTTTCTTCTGGACATCATGACGTTATTGATGGCACTCTGTCATTATGTGCATATCTGGTGGCTTCATGGCATGAAATTTCATCTTGTGGATGTAGTTCTTTTCCTAAATATATGTGTAAAGTTTCTCGCTATTTTTTTGTAGCAATATATTGACATTCATTTGACTTGGACTTTTCAACATTATTATTTCATGTTTATTTTATTTAACACTTCATATTATTGACCAGGCCTTGTTAGGTGCAATTGTAAAACGTATCAAAGGATTTATTAGGTTGAAGATAGCTTTAGGCGCCCTTCATGGAGCACTTCCAGATGCAACACCTGAGGAGATTGAAGCATATGATGATGAATGTGCTATCTGTAGGGTGAGCTTGTTAGCTTAGTTCATTCTCAATTCCCTTTTTGATTTTCTGTTAATCTCCAAGTTGTTTGACGGGTGGGCAAATGACAGGAACCAATGGCAAAGGTGAAGAGACTATCTTGTAAACATCTTTTCCATCTAACCTGTTTGAGATCTTGGTATGATCTATGTTGCTTGTCACGATCTTGGACCCCCCCATCATGAGCAGAGAGGAATTTGAAGCTCGGAAAGCTGATCTATGGAGGAAGCATACAACGGAATCTATTGTTGCAAAGGTACTATCAATAAGCATCATTCCTTATTATCTGTTATTATTGCTTGAGTTTTTGTTCCTTGGAAATTTAGCAAGAAATAGAACTTAAAAATTTTTACTAGCAATAATGCTTCCTCATATTTATATCTATCTGTGGAAGTGGATATCATATGCTACTCTGTTTTTGCTGCATAGTGTGAGAATGCTGCTTCGAGTTTGTAGGAAGCTACTTTCTGCAAGTGCAAATGTTGCCAAAGGCTTCATAGATTCTAATCATGCCATTAATTTAACTAGGCTCTACAATCCAAAATTGAATCCCAATCAACAAGGGTCCATCTTGGGCCTGTAGGCCTGCAATGAGTTGTTCACATGTGCACAACTACAATGACAGAGATCCTAATCTTCCACTGTGGTGTAGCTTAATTAGATGGTAGTTCATAGATTGAATTCCTTTGTTTTGTCATAAAGGGGTCCATGCCATTGAGTCGTTTACATTTTGTTTTATTGCCAAAAACCTAAGACTAGCTTGACAAGTGACAATAATGTGAAGAGATAGTTATTCGTAATTGCTTTTATGTGTTGTACTTTGTACATGAAGCTGTCCTTTGTTTTGTTACATGTCTTTGGCAATCCTATGTAAAGCACAAATAGAATCATTTAGAAACACGAATATCATTTAGCTATAACAACCACAACTAGCTGAGTCAAATATCATTTAGAAACACAAATATCATTTACCTATAACAATCATTTAGAAACACAGATATCATTTCGATAAACCTGTTGCACCCACCTCAGAGCTCCTGAAGAAACTTAGGACCTATTCAAGTATATTGAGGCTAATATTTTTCTCTTTCTTTTCGTTATCTTTTTTTGAAAAACTTCTTTTCATATGAAAAAACTAGTCTCACCGATTATGTACCATTTTTACTTTTAGTCACCTATATGAATGAGTATTTAGATGAAGCCTTGAAATCATTGTTGACAGAATAGATGTATGATAATATTAAGATTTTACTAAGCAATTGACAAATCGTGATGAGTATTACGTAGTAGAGCTCTTCATCACTAGGTAACTGTCTAATGTTTATCACATTTTTCTTCTCTAGTATCAATGAAGATGAAGGAATTCCAGGCAGGAGCAGATCGGGCAGGAAGGGTAAATTCTAGTTTTAAATAATTGTGTTCCTTTCTACCTTAGTGAGCTTTGGTGTTTGTGATGCTGACAACAAGGAGTCCCAAAAACCTACCAATTCAGTGTTAAATTGCCAATAACCATATTTTTTGCTTTCACATTTTGAACACAATGGCATGGCATACATTCAGAGAAACATGTCCTCAAAGATGTATATATGCCTGCATTTTCTTCCCCTCCCTAATCACACTATTGAACCCACAAACACACCATCTCTAACACCATCCCCCACCAATCCCTTAGGATACATGTTTGGATTTTGATTTGGATTTGGAACTGAGTAGGGCTTTGCAAATCCCCCTCAAATCCATCATCCAAACACAATATTAAAGAAAACCAACAATAGAACAGAGGAAAACTATTCCCATTACACAAACAAACAACAATAAGCCCTACCCATTAGCTATCATTCTCTTCCGGTTATGAAACTCCATAGATGGTGTCGTTGGAAACCTGTCTTCCACTTCATTTATAGAAATATGAATTGTACTCTAAGCTGAAATTATGCTCAATACCTTGTAGTTTTTATTAATCAGTTCTATGACATTGAATTATGGGTGGCATGAGTATCCCAAAAAGTTATCCTAATATCCTTTTTTTTTTTCTCTGATAAGGAGTTTCTTTTGCTTTTTCTCTTTAAAATAATTTGTGCCAGTCAACTCTTCTTCTGATGCCTTTCCAACAAAGTTGTGCGTTTCTAAATTGTGATATTTTACTTTAGAATGTGTGAATTTAATCTGTTATTTGTTAACTTATCTATATTGTCCTTATCTTATTCCTATAGGTACAGTGTTTCAGTTCTTTGATTTGAGTTAGGAATAGATTCTTAAACAATATGATGTTGGAGATGCATGTGTAACGCTTGAAGATTCTCACACTGAAGATCTCAGCCAAGAAGTTAGAGGCTTCATATTCTCTAGAATTCTGGTTCGTTTTTGAAAGTCTTATTTGCCTTAATTGCAATTCCATTTCAAAATACTTTTGGTCACTTCTATAGCTGCATTAATTGCTAATCTTTCTCTCTATACATACATATATTTAGCAGATGTTGTATGTTTACTAGAGACCATTATAATCTTTTGTTTTCTGGATGGAGAATCTTTTTTGGCTGAAAACTCAAGTTTGAAAAATGTTTTCAAGCAAACATGAGTGGACTTTTGTTCATTCTGTAACAACCTATCACATAATAGGAAAATAAAGTTCTGCTTGCTCAGAAACAAATTCTTGATAGCAAAGACGCAGACACTTGGCGCGAACATGACACAACATAGATATAAATACTAAAACAAGACATAGACATGGCGACAGCATTAGAATAATGAAAATTGCGTATAAACATGGGAATAATTAAAAAATGTCCATTGCATACTTGAGTTGTGGCAGCCATGTCTATGATGCCAATGTCTTGCATTTCTTCCTCTATTTATTTGAATAAATAGTTGGGTGCTTTTGGGTATGTTCATCCTTTTAATAAGGCTGTTCGTAGGCTACAATTGTTGGCTTTGTGTTTGAGTAAGTGTTAGCCGAGGCCCCAAAGTTGCAAAGCATATTTAAATAATGTACACAGCCAAGAAGTATCTCAAGTCTCTAGGTGTGTCCAAGTGTAGGTATTGAAGCAGTGTTCTACATGTACACTGCTTATTTGTGTCCGTGCTAATAAGACTATAGTGGGTTGCTAAATGGTATGGAGAGTCTAATTTAACTATAAGTGGTTTGAATATTAACACTTTTTGACAAATACTATATTGACTACTATTATTATTTTTATTGTTATATTTAGTAAGACAAGAAAATTGACTATCACTAATACATAGGATACAGTTACAGCATGGAAATGAACTTTTTTCAAAGTAGAGACAAAATTATGTGTTTACTCTCGTGTATTTTTTCTAGGCAGTGTTGGAGTTGCTCTAAGTTAGTGATGTGATTAATAGGAGCTTGCCATGTGCAAAGGAACTTCTGGTTGTTAAGTTAGACTCATTGTGTACACAATTTGTATTGACATGGATAGAAAGGTCTATACAATGTAATTGATAATATATTAATGTTTTTTTTTTTGTTTATTTTCTTTGCAGATTGGTTTTTGATGACGTTTGGAAGCATACTTGCAAATCAAGATCAAGTGTTGAATTTTTTTTTTTACCGAACTAATACTTATGTAGCAACCCTCACCTTACTCTTGCCATACTTGCATACATTCATGCATTGTCTTGTCTTGTTTTGATGTTTTGAAGGATTTGCCTTGCCCTGTTTTGTTTAAGTATTGCTTGCATGATTTTGTTCCTTGCTGGGTGTGTAGCCGAGGTTACCTTGAGCTTAGTTCACCTTTGAACATTTGTACCTAGAACTGTTTTAGAACCTTGGTCGACCCCCATCTTCACCTCGGGCTTGTTGCCGAGATGTTTTGCACTTAGTGAACCTTGTCCGCAGGCAGGTATGGCCTAGACCGAGATGTGGCACACCCCGGCCAAGGTGTGGCATAGCTTAGTCAAGCGTCGTCCTCCTTAGCCGATGTCTTTGTTATCCCTTTGCTGAAGCTTTGACTTGAGCCGATGTCATCTCTCGCCGATGTGCCTTGTCCAGCTTGCTGCATACGCTTTGTCAGGGACTTGTCTTATCTATCAATCACCTTTTTGAGTTGAGCCAACCCGGTAGCGCCACGTGTCCAAGCTGACTGTTAAGACAGCCGGCAGACCTAGAAACAAATCATTTTGTCCCAAATCCTTGCCTTTGTTTTGCATGTCATGCATCGATTTGAAGTTGGTTTTGGAATGAGAAAATGGTTTTCATGTGTTCTTGAAGAAAGTCTCGTTTTGATCCGAAAGTTTGAAACAAGAATTCACGTTTTGTGTTTATTCTTCCATGATCTACTTGTATGGGTACCCCGGGTCCATGTTTTGAACTCATGACATGAAGTCTCAGATTTTGTAACGAGTTTTGATCTTGCATTCATCTTTCTCATGATCGTATTCATCATGATCTGCATGTTTTCCAAAGGGAAACCCAGGTTTTCCCGACTTTGCTTTTGAATGAGGCCATCGGGACCACACCTCGGCAAGGAGGTGTGGGACCTCGGCATAGACCTTTTTGGTACCCAGTGTGTTTTCATGAGACGGGAGCAGTGCTTAAACTCCCAGCATGTTTTGCTTTGTTATTAACTTGGATCTGGTAGGGATGCCGAGATCATCTGCATGTATATAAAGCTTGTTTTGAGAATGTGATTTGCCATGTGATTGTAGGACCATGATCTTCGCTTTGAGCCTACACCTGAGGAAAACTATGTGAGTGGTATTATTGATAAAGCTATGTTATACTGTTTTGGTAAATCTTGCTTTGCTTTGTTTTGACGAAAGTATTTGTTAAGCATGAATGGATAGCTCTGTTTTGATGTATCAAGTATAAGCTTTGTTTTGATGTTATTCTTGGAAAGTCCCTTGTGCTGGAGGACTCTAAACTTTCGCAGCACTAAGTATAAAAGGATACGGTCCTTTCTTGGAAGTTCTATTGTGTTAAATCGGGCTACGGGCCTAAGTAACACAAGTTCTATTATGTTAAATCGGGCTACGAGAATAAGTAACACAAGTTCTATTATGTTAAATCGGGCTACGGGCCTAAGTAACACAAGTTCTATTATGTTAAATCGGGCTACGGGCCTAACTAACACAAGTTCTATTATGTTAAATCGGGCTACGGGCCTAAGTAACACAAGTCCCTTGTGCTGGAGACTATAATCTTTCGCAGTACCTTCGACCAATCGATTACGGATCGTACGGTCTTTGTTTTGCCACAGACGGTTTACCCCG